TTCGCATCGTAAAAATTTGTGTCCATGAGAAACAATGAACCCTGTTTTACCAACATAAGCGACTGAATTCTTCATTTCTCCTAAATTTCGATGCAATATAGTCGGAATTTTTTGATCTTTTGTGGAATAATATTCCTCATCTCCAGATGTTTCAAGTGTACCATCTGGTAAGGCAGAAGGATTAATAACCAATTGCATGGAATCTTTCACCTCATGATACCCACTTTTACTGGGACAATTGGTTGACAGAATTATCCCAATGGGTTCTGGAGTATCCATTAAAAAACCCACAGCCACTTGATGCTGAAATCTTGATTTTTTTAAATTACGACGCACACGACGATGGTCTAGACGTGATCGCATTTGCTGGATGGTTCTGGAAGATAAATTGACATTAAATGTTCGAGGAATACCTTCGGAATGCTCACGCTCGATGTCTTCCATATCCATTGCCTCACGTTCTATTAATTGTTGTCTATTATGAGCCACAATGTCGTTGTCTTGCACTTGTGTTGGCGTTAAACAATTCGCAGTCTTTGATCGTGAAGATGTGACATTATCAAACTTATCAGGACATGTCGCGACAATCTGAGTCTCAAAGTAAAAGATGCGAGAACAAGTGCGATTATCGACTGCACACCGAGATCGAAAGCACGCAGCATCGGCATCGTGATTGGCACGTCCAATATACTCGGCAGTACGACAATCAGCGTGTAAGCGACCTTCAAAGGCGACGTAACGTGGGTCGAAGGCCATGCTAAGCTTTGAGGATTCTGATTATTATACCGAGAGAACCGGTAGAGAACTTTTATGCAATATTAACTAATCTCAGTGGTCATGGCTTCATTTTTGATACGGTCATTTTTTCTCAAGCTTTTCAAGTGGTGAGATGTTTCTGTACTGTGATAATATGTTTTTTAACGCAGATATCTGTTGAGGATCATTATGAGTTATTGCAAGGTATTGCTGACAAAGATGAATGTAGAAAGACCTCTAACAAACTCGCCACTGAATTTAAGAAACGCAAAGCAATCAAAACATGGAGTTATGCATTAACCGAATGACTGGAATTATTCAGTCAATATACGAGACAGCAGAAGGTTTTAGCATCATATTATCATGTTACTCGTCGACGCCAAAGGCGACATGTGTATATTGCACTTACCGAAAGAAGCCGTTTAAGATAATATATTAACGTAAACACGCTTGAGAACTCCTTTTGTGATATGATCTACGTGAACTTAACAGCAGATGAAATAATAGCGAGATCTGAAAGCCATCTCAAACAATGTGAGCTAGCAAATCAAATGGCACAGCATGAATGATACCCCGTAGAGATATTTATTTATCACTACACATAAGATGCGATTGTAAAGTAGAGCTCTTTTATTGTCTACATCTTTCTCAGCGTCTCAATAGATGCAAATATTAAGCTCGAACGTATCAACACCAGCTCTCATTCATGGAAGACAATGGATGTACTGAAAAGTTTAGCGTGAAAAAATAGCTCAAGCAGCCCTATTTTAGATGTAAATCTCAATTAATAACTGAGTAATTTAAATTCAGAGCTGATTATATGTCACAATGCAATTGGGTTATTTTCGATTATTTCAAACTTCACAGTAAAACCGTATCACTATTTATCAAGATTATTTTTTATCGTGCGATAGCTAATTATTCGTCGATAGCATAAAAATTATCACTTCTACACAGAATGCAACGGAAATTTTGTGCCCCTCACACAGCGGAAGCTTTTGGACTGGAGCCCGAGCTTACAAGCGCACAATAGGTAGCACTGGGCTGCGGATCCATGATTTGTTCAAGCTCACGTTGCAACAAAGTTGCCGCGCATCTCGTATAGTAGAAGTGGTACACAATTGTACCACTATTGTGTACGAGCACCTTAAATTTTTTTGCAAATGAAAATTTGTACAATTTTACGAAAATTACGTTACATTCGATGCCTTGGTAAAATGAAGATGATGGGACTACGTGAAGGAGAGATCCGTGCTACGCTGATGCTATAGGCCGCACGCCACGCCATATAGAAACAATAGCGATATTCAAATGGATACAGCAAAACGTATATATATGTATACTACATTAAATAAGATTAAGTCTTAATATGTGTCACTCTCGAAATAGAAGAGTTAAGTAGGCAACTAGTTACTAGAGAAGTTCGCCGTTTCGCTTCTGGGTGGATCGCGCAAGCACAACCTCTTTGTATTGTATACGATCATGTTTTTGGTCAGAAAAATTATTGTGTAGACCTTAATCCTGCAATTAATAGCTTTTTAGTCAATCCGACGACAGAGTTGTGAAAAATATCTACTCTGTGAGGATAGAATACAATCTGGCTGATTACCTGTCGACGGGATAAGTAGACACGCTTTGTAAGCTAATGTCAATCATTCACCCTAATGAGATCGCGCAAATGGTTGCTTAAGGACCGGAGTAGCGGGAGGCGCTTACCAGCTATGAGAATGCGCTGCTGGCACAATCAGAAGCGCTCAATTCGGGCGTAGGCCGGAGGATCGACAACACACACCTTGAGACCACTGATGGTTTACGTCCAGCCCTACTTGCATAGGGACGAAAATCGATCCCACTGGATGCTGGAAGTTGAAATACCTATGGATCTGGCCACTTTACTGTGTCTGCTCTCAAAAGCATATTTGCATCCAAAGTCCCCTCCTGTTCACGTAAGCAAATCGCTCGATAAGCCCCAGAAAGGCATAATCATCGTGATGCACTTAAATTATTCTCGGATGCTGGCGAACACGATCGCAGTGATTTCTTCAGTCTTGACCATACACCATCACCCTAACCAGACGTCACAAAGCATCGCAGAAGATGTGCTCACCGAGCAAAGTCTTCCACTGTACAAATGTCAGACTGATGAAATGTTGCGACATCCCGCTGTGGAAGTTTTGACGACGTCCAGCTGGTCACCATCGATTGAACCTGGCTCAAGAAATCTAGCTTGCTCGAATTTAAGCGCAAATACCACACGGTCTTTTCCCTGATTACGCCTGATTGCGCGTTGTTAAACCGTTTGAAGTCGCTTCATATGCTAATGATGAGCTTCTACACGCTCGTGCGAACCTTCCGTTCACACCAAGATTGAAAAGATCTCCGAATTGTCTGCGAGTGCTTTCTCAACTCACAGATCATCGACCGTCTAAAGTACTACCGTTCTTGGATTAGCAGCGGCTGCAAAGCCCATAGGGAGTGAGTCATGCTCCTAGGAGACCAGAAGCTGGCGAGAGTGCCGCTTAAAATATGACTTTATTGTCGCATCGGGTGGGAACTTACGATGTCTTATCAAAACTTAAGTCTTTCTATATTATATTTTGCAAAGCAAACGTCCACCTAAAGCGTCACCTAAGCTTGACTCTAAAAATTCGCATAGCTCGACGTTGGCTTTGAGGTAAAAAGCAAACGAGTTTTAGCTACTTCACCAAAGCACTTGTCTTCAGATCGTGATTATTTTTTTTGAAGGAATAATGTCTGAAGCTTTCTTCTATCGTAAAAATATATTAAGCAGGTAGTGAAACATTGGCAGACTAAATATCGTGAGGTCATTAAACGGAGTTCTGTTCTACTAATACGAGCATCTACTGACTGACATCTCGTTTTCATCGCATTCTTTATAAAGTAGTTGCAGTAAGACAATGCTTCTGCAGACATTTGCTGTGATCTAGGCAGAACAAGAACGCGATGCGCTCGTGGTTTCCAGGTTATTTGGCCGCATAAGGCTCACCTATGCTGACGGGAAAGAGAAGTATCTCTTTGCTACGCAGACTTACAAACGTTGTATCCGTGACGATACAAGATAAGTGTAAGCGGCCTGCAAAACCCCCATTCACCTTAGAAAGATGAAGGATCGGGCTCTAATGTAGAATCGTTTGACTAAAACCCTTCCCGGAGTAAAAGCTTCTGGCTTTTATTGGACCTCTTGGGGTCGAGCTCAATCGTAATCAGCCCCAAATAAACGTTTGTATTCAAGTGAGGTGAGGCTCACGGTCGCTGTTGTTTCCTGGTTGACTCAAAAGCGACGTGCCAAAACGTTTGACGCACTGGTGTTAAAAGCAGTTGACAATACGTGGAGGCATTGAAGCCTCCAAGTACGGATATACTTTTATTCGTCTTGCGGAAAGGATACTAGTGAAAGTGTGCCGAAGGCTTATATGAACATATTTATAAGGTCTAAGGGTTTAAACAGCTTGAAATATAATCTCGTTCTGGATTTGAAATTCGGTTGCAATTGCACCCTAGGTATGGCGTAACTAAGCGCCATGCGGGTGAATGTGCATGCTTCTATGCACACAGCAAGATGGCTGACATCAGCCAGCCGCTCAGCTATTCCTCCCCCACCAAGCCTTGAGCCATGGGATGGCGGAGTAAGCGGGACGCGAGAATTAGTAACCCGTTCGAGTAGAACGGCGTATATCCGGTAGATGAATTTCAGAGCAGACTCTTCAAGTGGCAACATAGCGCTCCAGCGCTTCGGTGTCTCAGCGCAGACGCTGCGAAGAACGTCTTCAACGACGCATTTAACGCGCTCTGTCTGACCATCAGTCTGCGGATGGTCCGCTGTTGACATATTCAACTTGGCGCCGAGTACCCTGAAGATTATAGACCAAAGCTCCCAGTATTCATGGCTTACTGAAAGTCAAAATGCTATATGCTACGCATATTATCTCTGGTGAAGCTTTGGTAAACTTAACTCACACTTGTAGATAAGCAGAAACAGATTTGCCTAAAGCATGAAGCAGCTTTGGCTGCATGACATGAAAACGGTTAATCAGCAGCGATATTGCTCAATTTTGTCATCTAAGCTTGGAAAGCATAAGCGACAGAGACCGCTGTCTCAGAATAAGACAGAGAGAAGCGATCGTCTATTGCGTGCATCTTTATCACGACATGAGCGAGTCACCGTATGTCGATTCCCATATTTTACCTCCAGTGGAACTTGAATGATAACTGGGAGCAGGTGATCCCTGTACCAGTATCGACGGAGATAACGAGAGACTGGCCGTCGTAAATTTCGTGCAAGAGTTGGTTGATCTGAAGAGCGACTGTTAGTTACGAGTGGAAGGACAAGGCTCTGACATTAAAAGTGCTGCATATCCTTTTTACAATGTCGCGGTGCTGCTAAGCAGCACTACCGAGTGACGGGCCCACCGTGCGGAACAATGGTGCCTCACGGATAAATATCGAATAAAGTGATTTACAGAAGTACCCAGGATTTGTAGTACTAAGCTCTAATCAAGCAGTAGGATTTTTCCTAGGTGATACTGGCATAGATTGCAAAACGAAGCGGTACGGTTGGTACCGAACGAGGAGCCGAGTTCTTCGTCTGGAGTGGATGATTTTGTTATTGAATAATGTGTGCGAGAAGTAGGAGAGCTATCCGCACGGATCCAGTATAACGTGGTGACAAGAGACCCGTCACACATATTAACCGCAAACAGGTAAGTGCGTTCTGAAAATTACTTGTTTTCTGGAGCCAAAAATAGCATCACGCGACAATAGTAACGGGGTTACATGTACCCTGGTAACAGGGGTGTATGTCATACGAGATGTGCATGGTGTGACTGCACCCAATCAAAAATACGGTATGCGGCTAGGTAACCAGTAGTAATGCATGTATTTAGATTTTACTTAGTAAAATCTATACATTTAAATTAGGCGGTTTAGCCGCAGATAAAAATAAATAAAATCAGTTTTGATTTCAAACAGAAGAGTATAAC